GATAAAAGTTTGTACCCCCATGGAGCCTCTATTCTAGCAGGGGGAGCTTCCCACCTTCTTTCACGGCTTCCTGTAGTACATCCCTCCAACCTCATATATGTCATATAAATGTCACACTCCTCCCCGGAATGCCCCTTACGTGACTCTTCCTTTTCTTTCTTCTTTTTTCTTTTCTTTTTTTTTTTGAGATGGAGTCTTACTCTGTTGCCCAGGTTGGAGTGCAGTGGTGCAATCTTGACTCACTGCAACTTCCACCTCCAGGCCAGGCGATTCTCCTGCACCAGCCTCCCGAGTAGCTGGGATTACAGGCATGCACCAACGCATTCAGCTAATTTTTGTGTTTTTAGTAAAAAGGAGGAGGTTTCACTATGTTAGACAGGCTAGTCTTGAACTCCAGCCCTCAGGTGATATGTCCACTTTGGCCTCCCAAAGTGCTGGGATTACAGGCATGAGCCACTGTACCTGGCCTATCCTCCTTTTCTCAAACACTAGAGAGAGGAGTTTCTTGTCTGTTGGATGTTGGGGTATTGCTGTCTCCCACCCTGATGTCCCCTATAGGGACAGAGAGATCATGTCCCAGAGAGATCATGTCCAGACAGCAGGACAGCCAAGGTAGGGTGCCTTCTGTGGGGCTTGGACATTCCCCCAGGCCTCACACTGGGCCTTTCTGGACAGATTATGTCCCGTCTTTCTGGGGAAGGGTCCTCCTGGCTCACATTGAATTGCACTGCCCATCCTGACTCCTCGGAATTTGTTTCATAAGTCAGAAGGAGCAAAGGGGACGCAATCAGCCATAATGTCGATTCTTTCTAGGAGCTGACCTTAGCTCTGGTTTCAGAGAGGATCTTGTATTCAGTTTATTTTAGTGGGGTAATTAATTATATTTCCTTTGGAGTCTGGTTCAGGCCCTACAGATATAAGACAAGAGAAGCCTGGCTGAATGTTACTACTTTCAGACCAGATTCAGGGACCTGGAGAGAGGTGCCTCCCTGTGACCAAGGAAAGATAGGGGAGAGTGCTTCCCACTGCGAAGCGCATATGCAGGCCTGGAGTGGCTGTGCACACCTTATGGTCCTGAGCCCTGCTGGGTAGAGGGCTTCTTTGGTGGAAGTTGCCATCATTTTCCTGATGTCGGGGATGGGAGGCAGAGTCGCTCTCAGCGTCATCTCCAGCCTTCGTTGGATAGCTGCCTGACGAGGAAGACAGTGGTCTGTGCATGAAGTCCTGAAAAGAACATCGGGACTTGGGGCCTCAGTTTGAGCCCAGCTCTGTCCATGTGGCATTGGGGGAGTTCTTAACCTCTGTTTCCCTTCCGGGCAATAGAAGACAACACCCATGTCAGAGCACAGTTGTAACATATGTGAATGCCTTTTACCGAACCTGACTGAGAGCAGATACCCTGCAGAGCTGGCACCCAGGTTTTGCTCAGTGGCTTCTGTAAAGCCTGGCCTGTGTGGACCTCTCCACCCCCTGCCTTTGCAGCAGGCCATGGAAGCCCAGGTGGCATGCGGTTGACCTCTTGGTCTTTTATAGTGTGTGATTGGCTGCTTGGTGGTTTTGTTTTGTTTTTAGAGACAGAGTCTCACACTGTCGCCCAGGCCGTAGTGCAGTGGCATGATCTCAGCTCACTGCAATCTCCGCCTCCTGGGTTCAAGGAATTCGCCTGCCTCAGCCTCCCGAGTAGCTGGGACTACATCCTGCGCCACCACGCCCGGCTAATTATTTTTGGTATTATTAGTAGAGACGGGGTTTCACCATGTTGGTCAGGCTGGTCTTGAACTCCTGAACTCAAGCAATCCACCGGCCTCGGCCTCCCAAAGTGCTGGGACTACCGGCATGAGCCACTGTGCCCGGCCGGCTGCTTTGTGTTTTATAGTGTGTGATTGACTGCTTCGTGAGCCTCTTCCCTCTTTCTCTTTCCACTCCTCCCCACTCCTAAGTGGACCCAGGTCGACTTAGTTCTGCCTCCTTAACTCCTGCAGTGAGGGTGAGGCTGGGAGAGCAGGCTGGGGTAGAGCCAGGCTGCTGAGATGCTGCTCACAGGCCTGTGGGCTGGATGCTGCGGATTTCCTTGGAGATTTCTCAAGGAAATAAAAGCACAAGGTTGTTGGAGGGGTCTGGCGAGGAGACTGGGGTGCTGGGGAGGTTGGGGGCACCTGCCCAGTGTTTACCTGTTCTAGGTGGTAGGAATCGACCACTAAGAAAAGGTCAAATCAGTTAGTCCAGTCCTGTCTTTGTACAGAAAAGGAAGCCAAACCTCTTCCAGGATGGGTGGTCTGGTAAGCATGGAGCCGGTGCTGCAGTCTCATTCCCATCCTTGCGGTTCTCTCTACCCTGCGTGTTCATGCATCACATAGCAGCACTTGAGTTCTAAGTCATTTGGCTCTTGCGGGTCACCTTTAAGAAATTTTAGGCCAGGCACGGTGGCTGACACCTTTAATCCCGGCACTTTGGGAGGTTGAGGCAGGTGGATCACTTGAGGCCAGGAGTTCGAGACCAGCCTGGCCAACGTGGCGGAACCTGATCTCTACTGAACATACAAAAATTAACCGGGCATGGTGGCGGCGCCTGTAATCCCAGCCACTCAGGAGGCTGAGGCACGAGAGTCACTTGAACTTGGGAGGCAGAGGTTGTAGTGAGCCAAAATTGTGCCACTGCACTCAAGCCTGGGTGCCTGAGTGAGACCCTGTCCTTGGGGGGGTGGGGGGGGGGGAAGAAATCTTAAATACTGGTTTACTAAAGGCAGGTTAATAGATTGTTCTCTAGTTACTCCATAACAGAAGAGTGCTTCATTTAATGGCAACCCAGAGCAGTCATTTTATTCCTCAGCCGTCACGGATTTGGTGTTTGACCAGAACAAGGTCATGTTTCTTCACTGTGCCCTGAGTTTTTCCTTTCAGGGATAGTGACTAGTAGAACTGAACAGAAGCAGATTGTGTCATGGAAGGAAGAGCATCATACAGGGGCTCTTAGCTCTCAGACAGCTCACTAAATGCCGGACCCTGGGTCCAGATCCCTGTCTTCTGATCCCGATCCAGTGCTCCCGGCAGTACCACCCTGACTATTCACAGTCAATGTGCCTGAGGTGACCTCAGTGAAGAGCCACCATTTACTGAGAGTTTACCATCACCCGCACACTGCAGGGTCTTGGGTGACCTTTCCTTACAGTCTGGGCATTCATTTCTGGCTGTGGAGGAACTTGTTGAGTAAGGGCAGTGCCACTTTGAGACAGCGGAGGAAGTGGCCCAGCCAGGAAGCCCGGCCACATCACCAGATGCCCAGCTGGAGAGAGCACTGTCTTGGCCCTTCTCCCAGGAGACCTGTGGTAGGCGACTGGCCAGGGTGGAGCTGACAGTGGGATTTCCTCTCCTGTTCTTTATGGGATGGTGAGTGTTTAAAAATGTCTCATGAAGCATTCCTTGGTTAGAGGCTGTGGTGTGCCAGAGTTCATGGCTTTAGCCTCTGAGCCTCACCAAGTAGTAGCGTTGGTGGGGCTGCCCTCCGCAAGACATCTGTCTCGAGTGTGACTCTTCCTCAGATCAGCAGCAACAGTTGTTCCCTCCCGGAAGTCATTCTCAAACTGGTCAGTAAACTGTTCAAAGGGAATTGTCCTGTAAGTCCTGGCAACCAAGTGGCGCAGTTTAGAAGTGCTGTTACGTGTTTTACAATGGACAGCTGGTCGGGTGCAGTGGTTCCCACCTGTAATCCCAGCACTTTGGGAGGCCAAGACAGGTGGATCACATGAGGTCAGGAGTTCAAGACCAGCCTGGCCAAAATAGTGAAACCCCGTCTCTACTAAAAATTTAAAAATTAGCTGGGCGTGGTGGCGGGCACCTGTAGTCCTAGCTACTCGGGAGGCTGAGGCCGGAGAATCGCTTAAACCGAGAAGGCAGAGGTTGCAGTGAGCTGGGATCGCGCCATTGCACTCCAGCCTGGGCGACAAGAGTGAAACTTTGTCTCAAAAAAAAAAAAAAAAAAAAATTAGCCAGGTGTGGTGGCGGGTGCCTGTGATCCCAGCTACTTGGGAGGCTGAGGCTGGAGAATCGCTTGAACCGAGAAGGCAGAGGTTGCAGTGAGCCGGGATCACGCCATTGCACTCCCTCCTGGGCAACAGAGGGAGCCTCTTGTCTCAAAAAACAAAAGGACAGCTATACCCTGGGAATGACCTGTGCCTTTGTACTTCTTCCTTGCCTCAGTTTTTCCCTCTTCCTAAAATACTGTTTCCTCTCTTCCTGACAACACTCCGCCCCGCACTTCTCCAGATTCTACTCAGTCCTCTGCAGGCTGTTTCTGATCACATCTCTCCTTTTCTAGACCATCCCAGGGACCCTCTGGAAGCACTTTAGCTCCTGTTGATCAGCAGCGTGGGCTTGGCCCAGGAGCCTGTTAGAAGCGTAGCATCCCTGGCCCCACCCAGGCCTGCTGGACCCAGGTTCACATTGTGCCAGGCTCCCCAGGTGCCTTGTGTGCACACAGGGAGCATCTGCCCCCGCGTCGCTTACTTACCGCCTTTTCTTAGGGGTCACGGCCTGGCTGTTTCGTCCTCTGCTTTACGGATCCATCTTGTGTTTGGACCCTTTGCAGCATGCTTGGCATTAAGCAGGCACTATAGTATTGGAGATTTACTGACAGTCACTCTTTATTTGAAAACTTTTCAGATCATACAGGGAATAGCTGGAGAAATGTGGCATCACACTTAACAAAGTTCATGACAGAAAGGGCAAGAAAAAGTAAGAGAGGGCGGAGTTAATACATAGGACCCACCAGGTGAGGCGCTGTTTGGGGAGGCACACAGGTGTCAGAAACAGCTCATCCTTTGCAGGGCAGTGCTCCTTCATTGCTCACTGTGTCTGAGCCTCCTGAACCTTAATTTAGTTGCCTGATTTCTACAGTGTGGTAACATTATACTCATAGTGTTGCTTGGAAGATAAATGAGATAATGCAAGTGAATTATCGTGTCACAGTGTTTGCCCATTAGTGGTAGCTGGTGTATGCACTCAGCCAGAGCTAAGTGTTCAGTTACGTTAGTTGGATTCTTGTTAATCTTTGAGAAATTTTGTTTTATTTTATTTTTTTTGAGATAGTGTCTCACTTGAATTCAGTGGCTTGATCTCAGCTCATTGCAACTTCTACCTCCTGGGTTCAAGAGATTCTTCTGCCTCAGCCTCCCAAGTAGCTGGGACTACAGGCATGTGCCACCATGTGGGCTCAGCTAATTTCTGTATTTTTTGTAAAGATGAGGTCTCATTCAACATGTTGCCCAGGCTGCTGTCTGGAACTCCTGGGCTCTGAGATCCACCAGCCTCCTCCTCCCAAAGTGCTGGGACTGCTGGTATGAGAAATCTTAAGTTGTTGTTGTTTTTTAGTTTTTTTTTTTGAGATTGAGTCTTGCTCTGTTGCCCAGGCTGGAGTCCAGTGGCGTGATCTCAGCTTACTGCAACCTCCGCTTCTCAGGTTCAAGCAGTTCTCCTGCCTCAGCGTCCCAAGTAACTGAGATTACAGGCACCACGCCTGGCTAATTTTTGTATTTTTAATAAAGATGGGGTTTCACCATATTGATCAGGCTAGTCTCAAACTCCTGACCTCAGGTGATCCACCTGCCTCCGCCTCCCAAAGTCTTAGGATTATAGGTGTGAGCCACTGCACCTGGCTGAGAAATCTTGTTTTTAAAAGGAACAAAATAGACAACTTTCTGAGACTCATATTCTATCTTCTCTTGTATCGTTCCCTGATTTCCAGGATGAACCCCAAGCTTCTGAGGAGCAGGGTCTGTGTCTTGCGTGTGCCTGGTGTCAAATGCTCTGCGGCTGGTGTGTGAGGCCTGGGGAAGGGAGGAGCAGGAGCTGGGCCGGGAGAGCACTGCCGCCCTGCCATACCCCACCTCTGGACTCCGCCATGTCCCGCCAGTACCCATGCTGCATAAAACAAACTATCAGGAAGTGGAGTCTACCAAAGTAACCGTCCTGGGAGCTCTCGGATTCCAGCCGGAGAGCTGGCAAGTTGTAGCGGCACTGTGGAGACATCCACCCCAGCTCTTACGCCTCCTCCTGCGGGGGCGGGGCGCTTGCAGATCCCTGTGGTGGGAGTAAGGCCATGCCAGAGCAGGGCAGGCAGCAAAGTGGGGACTTGTCACACAGCGGTGTGGTTTCTTTTCCGGTGGCGGGGATGGGAGGGAGGTGGATGCCACAGGCATCTGGTAGGTCACCTCCCAAGCTCTCAAGCTCCCATGCCTTGCTTTACAGGAGCAGGGGCTTGAAAACCTGGGACCTTAGAGTTGGTGTCCTGGATCTGTACTGGCAGTTTTGTGGATTTTTTTTAACCTTTTGCTGTTAAACATATGATATCTGTCTGGTAGAAGACACGGTATATGTGGATGAATTCATCAGCGTATTTGAAGCGATTTGAAGGTGAACCACATCAAGTTAGACCGGGTTCAGTAGCTCAGGCCTGTAATCCCAGTGCACTGCGAGGCTGAAGTGGGAGAATCACTTGAGCCCGGGAAGTCTCACCTGGGTGACATAGCAAGGCGCCATCTCTACAAAAATCTTAAAAAATATATTAGCTGGGTATGGTGGTGCATGCCACCACCTGTGGTCCCAGCTGCTTGGGAGGCTGACATGGAAGGATCGCTTGAGCTGAGGAGTTGGAGGTTACAGTGAGCTCTGATGGCACCACTGCACTCCAGCCCTGACAATGGAGCACATAAAAGTAAGACCATTTACTCTTGAGGGGATTGAGGCATCTTCTCTTACTTCTGATTTTACAATGACAGATTGATAAAAAACCAGAATGGGTAGAATTCACTGTTCAGTTCATGTGATTTCTTACCAGAAGAGAAATCACCCTGCAGTCTATCTCAGCAGCGTGGACAGAACACGGAGGATGAGGGAAAGCAGAGCGGCAAATTGGAGTTTGGAGCCAGGCGGGCACCCAGGTCTTTTCCTCTTTCCTTAAGGGGTTTCCTTCTCCCAGTTACCCCTTCATGAAGGGAAAACGCTGTCTCATGGGCAGGTGGACCACGCTGGGGGGCCCGCTCTCCTCTGGGTATATAGAGGCTGTCTTGGCAGCAGGGCCCAGGCTGCAAGATGAATGCGTGCAGGGGCTGTGGGCTGGCCTGGGAGAACAAAGCCAGGAGAGGGTACCAGTCCAGCCCTGCAGCCCGGCCCTGACCTTAGATGGACAGCAGACAGTCACGTGCCACGTTTCTCTTCTGAAGTCTTACTCCTCCTTTCTTTGTGATTTAAACAATTTCTTCACTCCCACTTTTGTCCAAATTCCTCAGACCATACTCTTTGAAATCTGAAGTATGGAGAGGCAATACCAGGGCCCTCCCCACCCACCTTCTGGCTTGGTATGAGTATCCTGTGCTTCAGCTGGGCCGTGTGCTAGAGAGCATGGGGAGGAGTGTTCCCCAGGGAAAGGGGCAGGAAAGACCAGAGGTTAAAAATAGGCAGCTTGTAGGACCTCCCTCAGGTCACACGTAGCCCTCTTGTGATTCGCACACTTGGAGTAGAGCAGCTTTGGAACAGAGGAGAGGAAAGTCGGTCACCCTCACTTAAGCATCACACGAATGGCCGCTTTTCCTCTGTGTTTCGGGTAAGAAGAACTTTCCCCAGTCACCTGGTGGTTTTGGATTTGTGTTTCCTGGTACTTTGGGGACGTATCCACATGTGTGCGCAGTGCCTGCGTCTGCATGTGTGTGGCACTAAGATGACTCAGTGTCGCATGTGCTGAGACATTCTGGGACGGCAGGTCAGTATTCCCACAGAGGCTTGCCTGAGGGATCTTTTGCACCTATAAAGATGTGTCCCATTTATAAGGTGGTTCCCTACAGTAAATGAAAGAATTCTCCTGGGCTGTGTGTGTGTGAAGTAAATAAACATGTGGGTTGTCATTTCACACGGACGGTGTCCTGGGTGCAGGGCAGAGGGTCGGAATGCAAGCTGAGCTGACTACTCTAATACGGTCCACAAGCTATGAGGCTGCTGCTGTTCTTTTTTGTTCTTTTAGGGAATAGGGGTGCCTGCCCACCCCCGAAGCCAGGAAAAAGGTAGTCCTCTCTGGCCTCCTAGGCAGGTGGAGCTGCTCTGGTTAAAACTGGCAAGAGCATCCTGTCTGTGCTCCCTGGGACAACCACAGGAGACTCCGGGAAAACCCCACCAAGGACTTGGCAGTGCCACCTGCTCTGAGTCATTTGTGCCTTCTTGTGACACTCTCCTCACTTAATACCCTGTTGTTCATAGCGAGGATTTCCTGTCCTGACTTTCCGTCTGAATTTTGAATAACTTGACGAGGTGATTGCTTTCGGGTCCCTCTGGGCCCGTGTCTGCCCCTCCCTGTAACCTGACAGAGCAGCTGTGCCCTTCAGCTCCTGTGGGCCTGGGCCTGTGTGACCCACCTCATCCCTTCTGTCTCAGTCTTCTGCTAAGCACAGCCTCTTCTCCCTCGTCCCTTCTTTCTCTGCTCTCTGGGCAGAAGAGAAGCCTTGGCAGTGGTCTTTGATGTGGGAGGCTGGACTGGAAGGCATCCTGGCTGGAGGAGGGAGGTCCATGGTGGAATCGGGGCATGCGGGGGCTGTGTGGAGAGGGGCCCGCTGCCTTTACCAAGCCCCTTCCTCTCCCTGGGCAGTGGGGTGCGTGTTACCCCTTGCTCTCCACGTCTCAGGGAGAAGAAACCAGGTCCTCATGTGAATCCTGCTGTTTGACTTGGGGGACACCTGGGAGTGAATGCTTGAAGGTCTTCCTGTCTGGTGCCTTTGTTTCAGGTTGTTTTTCTTTGAGGTGCCTTTTCTGCTCCCACAGGCCCTGTGCAGGGGTGCTCCGAGCCCACAGCGGATGTTGGCAGCACATGGGACCCTGGGGAGCTGGCCGAGGACCCTGCTTTCAGTCTGGGCCGGTCCCCAAGGTCCCCTCCTAGATTTTCATGTGCATTAGTGGTCGAGGGCAAAGGGGGCCAGTGCCCAAGGTCCCCTCTAAATTTAGATTTTCATGTGCATTGGTGGTCGAGGGTGAAGGAAACGCAGGCCCTCGGGTGGCTTGCAGACTCAGTCTCTCAGCTGGCAGTCCTGTTATACCACACTGAAAAGGGGAAAGAAATACAGGAATGGAGGCTTTCTTATGGGGGCAGGTAGAGGCTGAAGTGGTGTGTGAAAGAGGACTTGAGGCTTTTCTCCTGGGAGTCAGAGAGAGTTGGACTTGACAGCACTCAGCCCTAATAGGTATAGACTGAGTCCAGCCCGAGGTATTAGACCCCATATTTATTGCCTTAATCTTAATTTTACACCTGGTCATACTATTTAAAAACAAAAACAAAAACAAAAGGTCCCCCTGTGTCTGAGTGAGACCTTCATATTTAGTGGCATTTGATAATATATTTATCATTTCCAGTAAGTTTGATGATCTCAGAGGTGTGCAGTTATGTTACTGGAAGTGAACAGTTCAGTGGTCCCCAGGAACTATGGGGAGAACCCTGTTCCGCCTCAGCCTCTTCCCCCATCTGCCGCTGTGGCCTGCTCCACCCTCAAATGGCTGTTGGGGGACCCAGCAGCCTGCATTCTCAACATGTGCAGTCATACCCTATTTTCAGTTAAAAATGCAGTTTCCCCCACCTGCCTTCCCCTAGAGCTGCACGTGAAAGGGTGTAGTGCCCTTCTCTTGAAACCTGCCTGTCTCTCCAGCCCTTCATTGGTTGGGTGCATGTGCTCCCTGCTGCCCAGCACTGCTAGGTTCCCAGGAAGCTGGTACACACTGAAACTCTGCATGGAATGTTGCCCTTGTGCCATTAGCAGAGCGGAGGCTGTGTCGGCTCTGCTCTCCCTGCCTCCGACCTCATTGTTCGGGACTTAATGTAATAATATGCTTGAACAGGCGGGAGATCACATTAGCTTGGCTCTGCAGTTGTAAACAATATTTGCTCTGTGAGTGTTCTCCTTCACCCCCTGCTCTCCTGGAACCCTGCGCCTTCTCCCACTGCCACCCCCTCTCTCATTGCGTATTCTATCTAACCTCGGCTAAAACAGCTTCATTCATGAGATGGCCAGTGTTTTCTGGGAGAAAAGTTGCGGAAAATAATCAAGTCCCAAGAACCTCTAGCTGTGATGCACAAGGAAACACTGGTTTCTCCGTAGAAGTTGTAACAATGTCCATGTCAACCAGTCTCTTACAGGAATGGGACCCTGTTTGAAAAGGCACACACGCACACACGCAGTCAGATAACAGTCAACAGCTTTCCTAAAGCTCCAACTCTGTCCTTGGCCGGGAGCGCTGGGCAGGTGTGACTGACCACCTTCTGGGACAGAGGCTTCCACTGTCAGTGTCGCAGGGGTGGGAGGCAGAGAGGGCAGGAGCCCAGGTGCAGCCTTGGGGTGCCTGTTTTTCTCCATAGAAGGGTTTTGTCCTCTGCTTCTCAGTCTCTTCTATGGTTTCAAGCAGGAAAAGATCTAAGAAAACCCCCACCTCACACCTGCACTGCCCTTTGCAATTTAACGATCGCAGTGGTTGGTTTCACAGACGAAACCTGCTCCACCTTCTCTGTGCTGATTGGTGGCTGATGATGTCATGGCATAAAGCTCAAACCGATTGTTTTCTCTATGGGACAGGCCCCGAAACAGCAGACAGCAGAGCTGTTGCTCTTTTGTTCCCTCCAGTTGAGGCTATCAAACAAGATGGAGAGGTGGGAGCAGAGCCATGGCTGCGCATCACCTGATCCTGTTCGTAAAGCTCAGCCTCGCTTTCGCACCTAGAGTAGAAGCACTGCTCACATCAGGAAAAACCCTTTGTTTTTCACGACAGCAACAATACTTTTTGCACTGGAGATATTTTGCCTATCTGCTTAAATCTTCTCTGTTAAGAGAAGGATAGATGCAGCGGGATACGTGGCTCATGCCTGTAATCTCAGCACTTTGGGAGGCTGAGGTAGGAGCATCACCTGAGGTCAGGAGTTGAGACCAGCCTGGCCAACATGGTGAAACCCCATCTCTACTAAAAATACAAACAATTAGCCGGGTATGATGGTGGTTGCCTGTAATCCCAGCTGCTCGGGAGGCTGAGCTGGGAGAATCGCTTGAAACCTGGAGGCAGAGGTTGCAGTGAGCTGAGATCTGCCGTTGCACTCAAGCCTGGGCAACAAAGTGAGACTGTTTCAAAAAGAAAAAGAGAGAAGAATTGATGCAATTTCAAGGAAACCTCTTCTACTGGCCCAAGGAAGAGGAGTTGATTTCAAGGAAATAAAAAATAATCAGAAAAATGTCCCTCGGTTCCTGCAGAGCTTGGGAATTCTTCCTGCCGTCAGCATGTGTCCATCCTAGAAGGGAACTGTGGTTCGTAGCAGTGGCTCTGGTGTGTGAGTTCAGCGCTGCCTGTGGTCTCAAGGGCCTGAGGGCAGAAGCTGCTCAGTCAGGTGTTCTTTCACCTTGGGCTTTGCTGGGTCTGCTGTGCTGCAGAGAGGACAGTGGCGCTGCTGGGAATTCGGCAGAGCAGGCCTGGCCCGGGTCTCTTAGGGCAGCACCCATCAGGCTGAAGCCCTCTGGGATGGCCGTGGTTGACACTGTGGGCCTGGCTCACCAGTCATCTCTAGGTGCTGGTCATCTGTAGCTGCTCAGAACCTCCAGAAGCCCAGCGTGAGGCCAGGCTCTGTCAGAGGGCCCCCACAGTGTCCCTGCAGCAGTCCTGCTCAGGAAACTCTCTTTTCATCAGGGATCTGCTGGCGACTGTCTTCAGACTCGGTGAGGTCTCTGAGCATCTGAAAGCCGCTCTCCTTAGATGTTACATATGATTGTTGCCACTTCATGCCCATGGATCCGCACAGACCTTAACAGCTGCTTCTGGAAAGCTTGGCTGGTAAAGCCACACCACTAGGCTAAGTGGAGGAGGCGAGGCATGTCTGACGGGGCGGTACAGGCAGAGGACTGGATGAGCGTCCCTCCCAAGCCGCAGAGCTGCTCTGGTGGGACTGGGCTTCATAGGCCCTTCTGGAGCACCCTGGGCTTTGATTTGTTGGGCGAGAGGAAACTCCACAGCTGGCTGGACAGCCACAGTCTCTTGCTGCATGGACGGACTTCCTTCGCCCACTTGGCTGCCCTTAATTCTGTGCCTCCTTGCAAGCATACAATCACTGGGCTGTCTTTAGCCATGTTGCTGTGTGGCTACACCTCTGGAGAGACAGAATGTTACAGCTGGTTCACATTTTCCTGAACAAAACAGACACGCCCAGAGACGAGGCAGGTCGTTTCCTGGAGTGCTGTGTGTGTGGCGGGCGCCTCTCCTGGTCGTCGTGCTCTTGCCACACAGGTGCTTGACGTGCAGGTAAGGGAGAAGGCGCACTTGAAGGCAGGGCCACCACTGCCTGTTTCTCTGCTGTGCTGCAGCCCCAGGCCTGCCTTCTGCTTTCCTCCCCCTGGGCCCTGGGGGCACTTTAGCATGGGATTGGGAGGGAGTTACCATGCCTGTCCCAGGTCACCACTGATTCTGATTGGATGGGTCTGAAGTGGGGCCTGAACATTGGTATAATTTTAAAGTTCCTTGATGATTCTAATGAGCTTTATGTATACCCTGTGAAGGTCGACCAAACAGCTGGCCTCACAGGATAGTAAAAATACATTTTTCTTCTTCACTTCTTACCTCCTGTAGCCCAAGAATGGCATATGGAAAGCAGTGACAGTTCTATCTCAAACTGACAACTGCCTGAATTACAAACAATGACCGCTGTTGCGCTGATGTTGCATTTGAAGCTCAGCCTGTTTCTACTTTCCTTCTTCGGACTTCTGTCTTTGCAGGGGAGCCCCTTGTCTTCTGGGAAGAACCCAGGTGCAGGGTATCCTGCAGGTCCTTAGAATCCACTGGCCTCTCTCCAAGCCCCATGCACTTTTCTTCCAGAAAAGCTGAGAATGGGAATGTGCTCAAGACCACACCTGCCGTCATCAGTATCCACTGATGATGGAATCTCTTTGGACAGGAGTCTTTTGAGTCTCTGAGGGCAATGCAGGCTGAGAAAAATGTTGTGTAGCTGTTCTGAGTGAAGACTTGTTATAAGACGAAGAGAGCAGGTACACCATCGGGTTCGGCTGTGTGGATGAAGCACCTGCCGAGTCTGATACAGGGCGGAGGAAGTGCTCTGCTTGGTCCATTCATCCCATGGCCGATAATGGGGTGTCTCGTGCTTTCTTTAGTGGGTACCTGGGGGAGGAGTGGATGGGCTCGTAATTCTGTCCAGGGTCTGATACCACAGGAGTTTACGTGGCATTTGGCTTGTTTTGTGTAAATCCTCCTACCCTGATTAAATACTTCTTGAGCTATTTGATGCTGGCCTGTCCTGTGAGGTAGGGCTTATAGCCTTTCCTTTGAGAAATTTGTCCACAGATCTGAACAAATGTTCTTGAAGTACTTGAGTATTCTCTGCCTGTTTCGACTCTCTCCCCTGCCTAGTTTCCCTTTCTGACCCTCTCTCTGGCTGCCATTGCTTTTGTTTTTATGATACCTCCTTGGATTTATCCTACCTTTGCATCTTGTCATGAGCCAGTAGACTTGACTATTCGTGGAACTAGTCCTTCCCTATTCCCTTTGATCTTTGGGTTGGGTTTGGCTTTTCTAAAGTTGTGTTGTGAGGGTTTAACAGCCTTCATCAGAATCTGTGTTCTTCTTCCTTCTTCTTTTTCCTTCCTCCTCCTCCTCTTTCGTTCCTTCTTCAGACAGAAGAGCAGCTATGTTGCCCAGGCTGGAGTGCAGTGGTGCGATCATAGCTCACTGCAGCCTCAACCCCTTGGGCTCAAGCGACCCTCCCACCTCAGCCTCCTGAGTTGCTGGGCTATAGGTGCATGCCACCATGCCTGGCAGGATCACTTCTCCTCTTCATAGGCTGATTCACAAATACTTCTCACCACAAGAAGTCTTATTTTTGAAGTTGTATCCAACTGGCCCAGAAAGGGCAGATATTAAAATGACAGTTGATTGATACATTGAAAAAATCAGATGGTGGCATTTCCTTGCCCAGGCTTTTGTCCTTAACTTCAGAGTTTTGAAGTCCAGGGGCCTTGTCTGGTGTTTTGAAGGCATGTTCTGACTTAGGAGTGGTACTGGACTGCCAGTTATGATGCTTCGGTGCTAGGGGAGTATGAGGACCTTCAGTACATATGGTATGTACATCTGTGCCTGCAGAAAAGGGCTCAGGTCATTAGTGTGTGCAGTAGTGTCGCAGGTCCCGATGTCTTTTAATTGGTTATCTGCGTTTCCATGGTGTCCTTTGTGGAGTAGCTCTTTCTGGCATTAGGTGGGCAGAAGTGACTGAGGCTATTTGCTGTAGAGGAGAGCAGTTGCTCTAATTTAATATAAAGACAGGAGCCTGGTTTCCCAGTCACTCTCCAGCCAGGAGGGCTTTTCATTTCTACGTGTGGAAAGCAGTATTTGTGTAGCTCCTTTGGAAATGATTGATGTCGTCTTACAGAATCGCAGAGAGGCAGGTCTGTTCTTCGTAAGGTACAGAGGGTTGAGTCAGAGCCCTTCGTGTGGCCAGATTCACTCTCCAGAATTCATCCCAGCCTCCCAGGCTTCCTGCCCTGCCTCTGCATTTTGGCCTCCCAGGGGGATGGCAGGGATGCCTGGCTACTGCTTGCCCCTGCAGCACCTTTGTGAGGGAGTGGGAGGTGCAGCCCTTCTTCTGTGTGGCACTGGTCTTCAGCCAGTATATGGCTTGCTGAGTCGGGTGCTGGCTGAATCTCAGGCCCTGCTCCCCCACCTGCTTTGTCTCAGTGTGTTTCCTGTTGCTTGTAACAGAATGCCTGAAGCTGAGTGTCTGGGGACGGCCTTCTTAATTTGGGGACTCTGCAGGCAGCGTAGGGCTGATCACGTGGCAAGGGAACTGAATGTACCAACTCAGGTCACTTCCTCCTCTTTTGAAGACACCAGTCCCACTCCCATAATCCATTATTCCATGAATAGATTAGTCATTAATCCCAATGACTTCCTAAAAGCTCCACCTCTCCATACTGCCCCATTGGAGATGAAATTTCTACATGAATTTCCAAGGGAACAAAGATTCAAACCACAGCACCCCTTTACTGGGAGCTTGTATGCTGTACGTGGTAGCCAGGGGTAGGAGCAGGAGCCTGGGACGCACACAGGTCATGAGCTCTAATGCCTATGTAGATGTGTGCTTAGCCTTCACTGCATGTTAGCCAGATGGTTTTGGCAACATGTGCTGAACGACCTTGAGATGTCAGCTCGAGCCAGGAGCACTGGTGTGGAGAATGGTGGGCTGACCTTCACAGGTGAGTAGCAGCCTCACCCTCTGCCATACTTCCATTTAGTCCTAGACTCGGGGTATCAAAGCATTAGCTTAGACCAAGGGACTCTTCATTCATTTCAACACTCAAATCTGTTGTCCGGAATTGTACTTGGTATCTGAGTGCAGCACAGTGGTCTGCCAAGTTTAAGCTCAGGAATGCACAGAATCCCGGGGGCCTCACACAGCCTACTTCGTTGGTAAGGAGGAGTGCTGATAGCACAGCAGCATAGGGAAAAGGCAGCCCACCCTCACGACAGTCCAGATCTGTATTGCCTGTGGAGCTGTGTTCATGGCTGAACCATACTGAGCTTGGCTGTATGTCCAGCTATTCAGCGATCTAAGTTCAACCACTCCCCGTTGGTTGGTCTGGTCTCCCCATGGAGGTGTTAGTTTGTGTTTCATTCCTGACACCTGTGAGTTTTTGTGGGGAAGTGGGATAATGTGGGATAATCGGGGCTTTAAAGTGAGGCACTCCTGAGCTCGAATGTTGTCCTCCTCTGCTTATTAGCTGAGGAAGTTAATTACCCTATGATCCTGAGTTTTCTCGTCTGTATGGTGAGAATCATGATTTCTTACCAGATTGTTGTGAAGATGAAGTGGAAAGATTTCTGTAAAGTGCCCAGTCATGCTTGACACTTAAGAAAATTTAATAAACGGAGGTAGTTACTATAATCAGCAAGACATGGTCGACAGACCTCTCATGCCTCCTTCTTACAAAAAAAGGGATCTTTGTAAAGTCTCATACTGAGCTTGGAATCTGACCTTGAAGTGTAACTGTTGGCCAGAAGATGAAGAGAATATGTGCGCCTTTGCAGGTAATGTGTTGGCTTCATTCATATCTTGAGTGCTTTAATGCTGAAAATAAGACAGAGTCTTCACTCTCAGGAACTCGTGAATCTGGGGAGACAGTGGTGAAGTTAGCAATCTGTCTTTGATAGCAATCCATTTAAAAAAAAATAAGTATGGGACTGAAGTAGATGGGGGGAAAAAGCTGGTTTGGCATTATCCAATTTTAAATAATGTCCTTGGGTCCTCGAAAGGACCGATGATAGAACAAACAGGGAGTATTTCTTTGGCCTACTTAAAAGCAGTAGTGATGGAAAGAAGCAAGAAGAGACCATGCAGGCGGTCCACCATTGAAGCAGGTGCCGAGGGTAGCTTGCCGTGTGACTCAGGGTGTTGTTCCCTCTCTCTTGACTTCCGTTTCTGCATCTCAAGAGGAGACGTCAGCATCTGCCTTCCAGACTCACAGAAGTACAAGTTGTAAGTAGGATAATCTGCATGGAAGTACTTGGAGAAACATGAAGTGCTGCCTGCATACGTGGTGCGGTTGGGGACATATGGGTGGACGTTACCGCGCTTTTGCAGAGGAAGGTGGCATCAGAGATGAATCCCAACAGAGGAGTGAAGACCGAGCACGTGCTGTTGCTTCTTGTCCTGCACTTCTCTGCTTTAAGCAACTCAGAAAAGCTTCCCTGACTTAGGGCCTCTCCTGCTATTCTAAATCACCGTCACCTGTGCATGTCCTTCCCAGTACCCATGTGTTGTCATTATGCGCTTGCTTGCTCTCTTGTTTATTGTCTGTATTCTCCACTAGCCGGTAAGCTCCACCAGGGCGGGTGCTGGGTTTCCATTCACCACTGTCAGTTTCATCAAGCACAGGGCCTGACATACACTATGCACTTGGTAAATAATGTGCCAAATGGAGACACATGTGTCTCCTGCCTGACACACGGCTGCTCTGGGGATGCTCAGGTGTACACCTCATTGGCATCTTCTGAGAAGGGTATCTAAGAACCCTGCTGGTGCAGGTTCTAAATGCCACAGGCTGGATCTGTGACTCATCCCTGCCCTTCCTCCACATGTCCCTTTCTGCCCATTTAGGGATGCCCTACTTTGCTTGCATTCAGGGTGCATACTGAATTTGCTGAGTCTGTCCCTTCAGAAGGGACAAGTTTCTCTGGACTTGGTTCCATGGAGTTGGTAGCTTGCTGGTAGCTTGCCAGGCAGGGAGCATGTGTCCGGT